TAAAAATTTTTATCTTGACAAACAGAAGTCAAACCTGAAAGCAGAAAGATCAGGAAGACTTTCCCTTTACTATATGACTCAGCTGTAAGCTCTCCTTGAGGAGCTGTTGGTTCAAGCATTAAACTGTCCTCATAAAAATCATACATTTCAATCCTATCATGAAAATCACTCACCAGTGTTTCTTTGTTGACAAGCATCTTCTTCTAGCTACATTGCTAGTTAACACTTATATTGACTTATATTCTACTTAAATTTTCCTTTTCATGTTCTAACCACATCCAGATGTGATAGCATAGCTTTTGTGTTTGTTCTCCAAAAGTCATTCTTGATCTCTTTCCAAAGAGAGAAGGAGGGTGTTTGTTTCCCCATAAGATATTACTACACCTTTTGAAAAATATTTACTATCTGTGGAAAAATATAAGAATGATATCGTTAAGTACAAATTACTCAAAAGAAGGTTTTCACTGGAAGATGTTATGCTGTCATCGGGAAAAACTTTAATTTGTGGACTTTCACCTTCATGGTTATAAGTGTTTCTAAAGGTTCTAACGTGAATGTTTGAAGGATCCTGTTTGGGACTGCAAATGCTTAGAGTGTTGGTTAATTTGGGCTGATAATCAAGACAGTAAAATATGCATGAGTGAGCTTAAGTGCTTCTGGATAACGATGATCATTTGAAAGCTCTTTGAAGATTCATTTCATCTACGGGGTAAGAAAAAGACTGTAACTGACTTGGAGTAAAATGCCCATGGACAGGGGAATTAAACTTCCTTTATCAGGAAGTGTGAGGCAGCACAGCCTGGCAGTCAAGGGTGTAAGCTCCTGACAGACAGACCCAAATGCCACCTCCTGGCTGTCTGACCTTGAGCCAGTCACTAATCTCTGAGCCTTAGTTGTTTCCTCAGCCATAACATGGGGATTATTAAAGTACCCAACTCGGGGAGGGGTGTGCCAAGAGAGTTGAATGAGACAATGCAATCAAGCCCTTAGCATAGGGCACATATTAAATATCCAGTGTAAGTCAGATAGTATTCTTGAAAACTCAGATAGTGCTTTTTAAAGTATGTTTCTTTCTCTAAACACAGGTGGAGGAATCAACGTAAGGGGTAAGTGGAAATTTGCATATTCCCTTTAGAAAGTATAGAAAGACTGAGTGAGCTCATATGGCATTGGTCTTTCTCTATTTTTGTGTAGCATTTTTCTCTAGCTCCATCCATGTTGTTGCAAGTAGCAAGATTTCATTTTTTTTTTTTATGGCTGATTACTATTCCATTGCATATATTTATACTCCATCTTCTTTATCTTTTCATCTCTTCATATGTGGAATTTAAGAAACAAAACAGATGATCAAAGGGAAAAAATAGGAGAGACAGAGAGAGAGAGAGAGAGAGAGAGAGAGGCAAACCAAGAAACAGACTCTTAACTATAGAGAACAAACTGATGGTTACCAGAGGGGAGGTGGGTGGAGGTTTGGGTTAAATAGGTGATGGGGATGAAGGAGGGCCCTTGTCATGAGGAGCACAGGGTGATGTATGGAATTGTTGAATCACTATCACACTGTATGTTAACTACACTAGAATTAAAACAAAAACTTTAACTTAAAAGTATAGAAAGTCTGAGTACATATCCTTTGGAGGAAGAAGTACTCCATCCTAAACCTTTGCTCTTTTTTTTATTCTATGTTTATTTATTTTTGAGAGAGAAAGAGAGAGAGAGGGAGGAAGCAGGAGAGAAAGAGGGAGACAGAATCCCAAACAAGCTCCATGCTTTCAGCTCAGACCCGACGCAGGACTCAGACTCACAAACCATGAGATCAGGACCTGAGCCAAGATCAAGAGTTGGACGCTTAACCGACTGAGCCACTGAGGGGGCCCTCTGAGGCTACCCTTCTGAGGGCAGGGCTGATGAATGAGTTCAGGCCCTCACTCTGGAACCAAACTGTTTGAACACTGGCTCTCCCACTTCCAGCCACATGGACTCAGGCAGGCTACCTAACGTCTGTGTGCTTCAGTTTCTTCTTCAGTAAAATGGGGATAATAATAGTGTGTGTTTGCAAAATATTATCTGATAAGGGGTCAGTATCCAGAATATATATAAAGAACTCTACTATTTTTCACATGTCAGATGAACAGAAAATAAAATAACAAGCTCAGTGTGGCAAGAGTATAAAGAAATGACCACTTTGAAATGGGAGTGTACAGTAGTCTAGCTTTCTTGGTGGCAATTAGGCAAAATTGATGGCAATTAAACATAAAAGGTAACATTTTCTTTTTAAGATAAATAAAAACCAGGGCACCTCGGTAGCTCAGTCGGTTAAGTGTCAGACTTGGGCTCAGGTCATGATCTCATGGTTCATGAGTTTGAGCCCCACTTTGGTCTCTGTGCTGACAGCATGGAGCCTGGAGCTGCTTCAGATTCTGTGTCTTCCTCTCTCTCTGCCCCTCCCCTGCTTGTGCTCTGTCTCTCTCTCAAAAATAAATAAACATTGGGGCACCTGGGTGGCTCAGTTGGTTAAGCGCCCGACTTCGGCTCAGGTCATGATCTCATGGTTCATGGGTTTGAGCCCCATGTCGGGCTCTGTGCTGACAGCGAGCTCAGAGCCTGGAGCCTCTTTCAGATTCTGTATCTCCCTCCCTCTCTGACCCTCCCCTGCTCACGCTGTCTCTCTCTCAGAAATAAATTTTAAAAAACATTAAAAATTTTAAAAAGATAAACATTAAAAATTTTAAAAATAATAAATAAAATAAATAAAAACCAAAGTACATTATTAGGGTAATTTAGGATATTCGAAAATGAAGTGTATGTAAGATGAGAATGTTATCAACTTTTAAAAAATAAAACTGTTTATTTTGAGATACTTATAGATGTACATGCAGCTGTATGAAATAACATAGAGTTCCATGGATCCTTTACCTAGTTTCCCCAAAGGGTAACATCTTACAAAACTATGGAGCCATGATATTGACATTGATACAATCCACCAATCAGATTCAAGGTTTCTCCAGTTGACTTGTACTTGCCTGTCGGTGTATTTGATTCCAAGTGATTTTTTTTTTCAGACGTGCAGGTTTGCGTATCTACCACAACAATCAAAATACGAAACTGCCCCATCAGCACAAAAACCCCTCTTGTTGCTTTTTATAACCACATCATCCTTCCCCCACCCCTGCCCTAAGCCATGGCGACCGCTAATCTAGCCTCCATCTTTGTGAGGTTATTTATAAATGGAATCATATAGTCTGCTACTTTTTGGGATTAGACATAATTTCCTGCAACCTTTTGTAGTCGCCATCATTTCTCTTCAGCTTTGTCCAAGTTGTTCATGTATCAATAGTTCATTCCTTTAACTGCTCAATAGTATTCTGAGATATGGATGGACTACAGTTGAACTGCTTACCCACTGAAGAACATCTGGGTTATTTCCAGGTTTTGTCTACGGTGAATACAGCTTTTATAAATATTCACAAACAGGTTTATGTGCAAATAGAAGTGTCCAAGAATACAAATGCGGGCTTATGTAGCAATTGCATGTTCAGTTTTATTACAGATTTGCTATACTGTTTTCCAGAGTAATTGTCCCATGTTACATTCCCCCCAGCCAAGTATGAGTGATTTGAGCTTTCCTGATCCTCACCAGTATTCAGTGTTGCACTATTTTTTTAACTCTAGTAATCCTGACAAATGTGTAGTGGTGCATCATTGTGATTTTTTTTAAGTTTATTTATTTATTTTTGAGAGAGAGAGAGAGAGAGAAAGAGAGAGTGTGCGTGTGCGTGAGTGGGGGAGGGGCAAAGAGAGAGGGAGACACCAAACCCCAAGCAGAGACTCTGAATTAGGCTCCAGGCTCTGTCAGTGCAGAGCCCCTCGCGGGGCTCAAACTCACGAACTGTGAGATCATGACCTGAGCCAAAGTCAACTGCTTAACCAACTGAGCCACCCAGGCGCCCACAAGTATCTTTAGATTTAGCAATCTATAGATCTACCAGCAGAGATGTTCTAAGATATGTGTACAAGAAAGTTCATTGTAATGACTATTTTGTAACAAAATAACAACAAAAAGCCAAATTTGGAAACAGTGCAAAAAAACAGTGGTAGAGACTGATTACATTTTTATTGCCCAGTAACATGATCAAATACGGGGGCTAAATAATGGTCAAAGGCAAAAGTATGGGATCCCTTAAAGTAGACAAAAGTTACAACTCACCTCACTAGGACTGTGATGTCTGAGAGACAGCTGTTCTCAGGCAGGGGACTTCACCCTTCCCCTGGGGGCTGCAGATACCACCACATCCACCACGGATTGCACTGGGTCCTCTAAAAAGTTCTCTTTGCTTCTGTGTATGGGTTTTTGGATCCTCTGGCTTTTTCCAGCCACTCTGGAAAGTGTGGCTGCACGCCTACCCACCAGGTGCAAATCTGAAGTAATGACCTCACCACTTGCTTTACTCAAAGACTGAGTGGGTCAAGGCCACTCACATTTCCCAGGTTTGCCCTCTGTGATAATGCCTGACTCCATTTTTTGGCGTCTGACTGCTGACAGCTTTTAGGTGTCAACTGTCCCTCTTCCCCACTGCGCCCTACATCTGGGGACACCGATAAACTCAGGTGCTCCCAGCTTGGGCACGGCGGGAGTTTCAAGCCACGCAAGCCTCTCCCAAGGGTGGGCGCTTCCTACTGGGGCCCACCCTTAACTATTCGAACCCCAAGCCAGTATCCCCGGGTTATCTCAAGCCATTTTCAAATCTAAGTGGGAAGGCTGTTCTTTTCCATTCTATACCCTCTGGGTGTGTGTGGCCACGCTGAGCTCACTGACACTGGAGCTGTTTTAAATACCTGTTGTCTATGACACGGGGACTCTCTAGGACATGTGTGAACACTCGGGGACTCGGGGACCTGGCTGCAAAATTCATCTAAAGTCAAGACACGAACACATGAAACGGATGTTTTTAATGTCTAATCTAAAAGATAATAATCAATCAATCAATCAAGAGGAAAAAGTCTTTTGGTTACTTATTTGAAATCCTTATGAGTTTATTTTATCCTCTCAGTAGTTGAAATGTTTACCTGATTAAGGGCTCTTCATGGCCATCAGAACAGAACTTTGGCTGGAGAGTCCCTGTAAGTCACTTCCTTCCACAGCCCCTCAAATTTTGCTTTAATCCACAGAGTCACTGTCTTCAGGTCAGAGCCATAGGTGGCCCTTTCCTCAACTTGCAGCTTTGAGAGAAGCATCAGGAGAATCAGGCACCTCTTGATCACTTAAGGAGATGTGGAGCCAGGATGCATTCTGGAAGCAATTTCATGCTGAAAAGCCTCGGAATGTATTTCTTGTAGAGTTTCGACACTGCAGTCACCCTGGCCAGACGTCTGTCAAGAAGGACTCTATTGAGGCATTCCTGGAATCATACTAGAAGCACCTGGCAAAGACTCTGGCTTCAAGGCATCCTTCTCAAGGGGTTTTGTGTTCTCTCGTGTGAATACAGGCTTCATTGTGGAACTAGCTAGTGATATTAGTGGCTGAACAAAACAAAGCAGCAAAAGAGTTCATTAGCAAAGACAGAAACACACTAAGGATGCCAAGAACACAATACTGCCATTTTCCTGCCCGAGACTAATAACAAAATTAAACAGATCTGCTCTCGCAAAGCATAAAACAAATCAGATGGGATCGGGATGATTCACTGAAAATTTTACTGCCTGCCAGAACAAAACTCAACACCATTGACAGGAAAGCTACATAATCCAGGCTCCCTGCAAAGTATCATCTACAATGTTCAGCACATAAGTAATAATTATTAGACATACATACCATAAACTAGGAAAAACGTATGTCATAGAAAGAGACTTTAAAATGACAAAGATCATAGAATTGGCAGACCAGGGTTTAAAACACTTATCACAGGGGTGCCTGGGTGGCTCAGTCTGTTAAGCGTCTGACTTCAGTTCAGGTCATGAACTTGCGGTTCCTGAGTTCGAGCCCCGTGTCGGGCTCTGTGCTGACAGCTCAGAGCCTGGGGCCTGCTTCAGATTCTGTCTCTCCCTCTCTCTTTGTCCTCCCCTCCTTGTGCTCTCTCTCTCCCTCAAAAATAAACAAGGTTTAAATGAAAAAAATAATAAAATAAAACACTTATCATAAATGTTTTTAAAAATTTAAAGAAGTAGCGTTCCCGGGTAGCTCAGTTAAGCATCTGACTTTGGTTCAGGTCATGATCTCACCATTCATAGGTTTGAGCTCCGCACTGGGCTCTGCGTTGTCAGTGCAGAGCCTACCTCAGATCCTCTGTCTCCCCACCCCTCTGCTGTTCGCATGTGCTCTCCCTCTCAAAAGTAAACAATTTTAAAAAATGTAAAGGAGAAAAAAATTTCACAGAGAGTGAAAAAATAAGGTAGAGGAGAAGAGAAAATGGAAGTTATAGAAAGGAACCAGACAGAAATTTTAGAATTGAAAAGGACAATATCCAAAATGTAAAAATTTACTGAATCCCTAAATGGGATCGTGGACATTACAAGAGAAAAGGTCCATACACTTGAAGACAGATAATAGAAGTGACCAAAAATGAAGCACAAAGTAAAAAGATTGAAAAAATGAATTCAGTCTCAGTGGCCTATGACACAGCATCAAGCAGTCTAGTATCTATGTGGCTGTAGTCCCATGAGATCTCAAAGACCCTTCTAACTTCAAAGTGCTATGTGTCTACACAGCAAGTCTATGCTTTTTGTTTTTGGTTTTTAGAGAGAGAAAGCATGGAAGGGGGAGAGGAGCAGAAGGAGAGAGAGACAGAGAGACAGAGAGAGACAGAATCTTTTTTTTTTTTTAATGTTTTATTTATTTCTAGGAGAGAGAGAGAGAGAGAGACAGCGTGAGCAGGGGAGGGTCAGAGAGAGAGAGAGTCACAGACTCTGAAACAGGCTCCAGGCTCTGAGCTGGCAGTCAGCACAGAGCCCGACGCGGGGCTCGAACCCACGAACCGTGAGATCATGACCTAAGCAAAAGTAGGACGCTTAACTGACTAAGCCACCCAGGCGCCCCGAGAATCTTTTTTTTTTTTAAATGTTCATTTACTTTGAGAGAGAGAGAGGTGCGAGCAGGGGAGGTGGGGGGGGAGAGAGAGAGAGAGAGAGGAAAAAGGTTTCCAAGCAGCACAGAGCCCATCACAGGGGTCTATCCCACAAACCATGAGATCATGACCTGAGCCGAAACCAAGAGTCAGGCTCAACCGACTGAGCCACCCAGGCGCCCCGCAAATCTATGTATTGATTCCATAAAAATGTACTTATAAAACATTTGTATGGCCACATCTTTATAAACAAAGGGATTGTTTTCAAACTTAGAAACAGAATTATGGTTCACTTACTCAAAACTACCTCAGCTTAATGAAGAGAAATATGAGGGCAACTTTTGCTAGCTTTCTCTTAGGCCTGACTTAAATACTCCTCTTGCTATCTCTTCTTATTGCTATGGTTGGCTATGATGTTAACTACACAGTGCTGCCTGTACTCCTCTTTTTCATGTGTCCACGAGACCAGTAGTATTCAAGCTGGGGTACCCAATGACTCTCTAAGGTATATGCAAGCAATGATGGTTTTCAGATACTAAGGAAAATTTTGCAAAGCTTTGAGTGTATCCACCAAAGGCCATCGGCACGCCTGCTGAAATCTTATTCCACCATCCAGGGCCTATGTGAGACCAGACTTCATAGTACTAGTGACTCAAAATTTGATAATGACCAGTAGCCAGGAATAGTCCGCCATTTGCCTTGAGCCGATGAGAAATAAAAATTTCGAATCTCATCTTACTTGAGGTATCTCTACTTCTCCACCCTCTACCTGGCTCTTTTCAATTTATACTCTGAGAGTAACTTGATGTGAACGACGTGGCTCATCAAGGGAAGCTTTGTTTTAAGATCATTGTTGGGTCTATTTCCTTCTAACAAAGGGCAATGATTTCCATGACCACAATTTGCACATGCCGTCTTCCTCGAAAAAACTTGGCACTTAGTGCAGGCATTCGTGCTGGCTCTCCTGCCCATCTTCCTTCACAACTGCCTTTGTCTCACACTTGGTGAAAGAATAGCTTACCTTTTACTCATCTAAATCTTGCAAGGAATATTGCTACAGGGTGTAAGAGCTCCTGGGTACAACACAATGGGACAATTCAAATCTTTCATGGCAGCAAAGTGTTCTTTAATAAAGTTGTGAAACCAGGGTGGAGTCTTGGAAGTCTTTCCCTCCCTTATACGTTTCTATTTCTATTAACAGTGAAGTGTGATGTTAGAAAAGTAGGGGAGGGGGCAGTAAGGGGATGACAACTTCGGCTTCACAACCTCCCCTCTACCGTCTCCCAGCAACTGAGCAAAGAATGAAATGTTCCTGGGGCCTGGGTGGCTCAGTCAGTCAAGTGTCGGCTCTTGACTTTGGCTCAGGTCATGATCTCACAGTCTGTGAGTTTGAGCCCCACATCGGGCTCTGTGCTGACTGCACGTGAAGCCTGCTTGGGAATTCTCTCTCTCTCTCTCTCTCCCTCCTTCTCTCTGCCCCTTCCCCACTTGTGTGGTCTGTTCTCTGTCAAAATAAATAAATAAACTTTAAAAGCTTAAAAAAAAAAAAAAAAAAGAATGAATGAAAAGTTCCCAAGCGAGAGTTCCTTTGGACTATTGTCAAACAGTAGTATGAAACTACCTATCTTTTGGCTTGATTTACTTTTAAAACCTCCAGACTTAAAAAAATAAATCTATTGATGATGACGAGAGCTAAGTGTATGTAAGCTAAGTAGCTTCATGTCTCTTCATTAAAGGTGGCTTTGGAAACTAACAAAAAAAGTGAATTGTACAAAACTACACTGAAGATTTTAACACACAGGAATATGGTGAGAGGTGGAAGGATGTCAGATATCAAGCCCAGGAAGTCAATTTCCTATCTGGGTCTCATGAACTTTGTAGAAAGCGAAAAACCAGCACAAGGTGTTTTTTCAGAAAATTGTGGCAGAAATCTCAGGAGATAAAAGATATGCCTGTCAGACTAATGAACACACAGCAGTTTCCCACTGCGAGAAGGTAATAATTTATGAGCAGTATCACAGCATCACAGAGAAGGCATCTGTGATTTGATACGTAAATAAGTAGTGCACAGCAAATAAAATACTTAAGTAAATAGTATATAATAAATAAAATAATACACTTGAAATATATACGGATAACCACATTTGGTTTCTGGAATGCAGAATAATTTTTTTTTTTTTACACAGATTTTATTTTATTTTATTTTATTTTTTTTTACAAATAGTTTATTGTCAAATTAGTTTCTACATAACACTCAGTGCTCATCCCCAAAGTGCCCTCCTCCATGCCCATCCCCCCTCCCCCCCACATCCATCAGTCCTCAGTTTTTGTCAGCATTCAAGAGTCTCTCATGGTTTGCCTCTCTCCCTTTCCCCCACCATTTCCGCCCTTCTTCTCCCCCTTGTTCCTCCGTCAAGTTCCTCCTAATCCTCCTATACGTGCAAACATATGATATTTGTCCTTCTCTGCCTGACTTATTTCGCTCAGCATAACACCCTCAAGGTCCATCCATGTTGCTACACATGGCCAGATTTCATTGTTTCTCATTGCCATGTAGTATTCCATGGTATAGATAAACCACATCTTCTTGATCCATTCATCTGTTGATGGACACTTAGGCTCTTTCCATGTTTTAGCTATTGTGGAGAGTGCTGCTATGAACATTGGGGTACATGTGCTCCTATGCCTCAGCATTTCTGTATCCCTTGGGTAAATTCCTAGCAGTGCTATTGCTGGGTCATAAGGGAGTTCTATTGTTAGTTTCCTGAGGAACCTCCACACTGTTTTCCAGAGGGGCTGTACCAGTTTACATTCCCACCAACAGTGTAGGAGGGTGCCCGTTTCTCCACATCCTCGCCAGCATCTAGAGTTCTCTGATTTGCTCATTTTAGCCACTCTGACTGGCGTGAGGTGGTATCTCAGTGTGGTTTTGATTTGTATTTCCCTGATGAGGAGGGATGCTGAGCATCGTTTCATGTGTCTGTTGGCCATCTGGATGTCCTCTTTGGAGAAGTGTCTGTTCATGTCTTCTGCCCATTTCTTCACTGGGTTGTTTGTTTTTCGGGCGTGTAGTTTGGTGAGTTCCTTATAGATTCTGGATATTAACCCTTTATCTGATATGTCATTTGCAACTATCTTTTCCCATGGAATGCAGAATAATTCTTGAAAAAGGTTCAAAGGATCTTGTAAGGAAATATATTTGTTTCAAGTGACAGCAAATTTGTTTTTAAATCTGATTTTCTTTTTTTTTAAATTTTTTAATGTTTATTTTTGAGACAGAGAGAGACAGAGCACGAGCTGGGGAGGGGCAAAGAGAGAGGGAGACACAGAATCTGAAACAGACTCCAAGCTCTGAGCTAGCTGTCAGCACAGAGCCTGATGCAGGGTTCAAACCCATGGACCGCAAGATCACGACGTGAGCCAAAGTCAGAAGCTTAACCGACTGAGCCACCCAGGCGCCCCTAAATCTTATTTTCTAAAACCAGTAACATTGCAGGTATTTCTTGAAACCTAAAATGGAATTGCCTTGAAACATTTTCTTTTTTCGTCGACAAGGATGGCGAATAAGACTGGTTTATATATAAACATATGAGTAAGGAGGGAGGGGTAGGCTTACAGGAGCCTCGATGCACTGCCCGGGGGCCTAGCGGACTTGAGGCTTTCCAGGCATCCATCCCTGGGCCGCGGAGGCACCCACTGCTGGGTTCCTCCTCCCTACCTGGTGACACTTTTCATATGTCTGTGGAATCTGACTCTCTTCTTGCTTCAGCAGTTCTGTCATTTTGGCCTTTTTGAGGCTATTCTCATATTCTGCCTTCTGCTGGGACTTCTCTCCGCTACCCTGCGCTGATAAGGGAGCTGAATCAGGTCAGCCCCTGGGAAGCCTGCGTGGACGGGCCTGGCCTCGCTGGGACAGACCACAGGCCCGGGCCCTGTCAGCCTTCTGAACTTGCTCCTGCAGCTAGCTTTTGCCCGCGAGTACCTCCAAATCTACCAATGCCACAGCCCCTCTGAGTCGGAGTCCCTCTTCCGCCCCCACACTCCCCAGACGTCAAGAATATCTGGGCCTAACGCCATCTCCAAAGCGGAGTAAACCAACACACCTTTCGGGCTAGCTCTGGGATCCCGCTTTGGATTTCAAATTACAGCGAGGAAGCTGAGAAGCCCTCCCCAAGCAGACTCCATGCACACACACACCTCTTCCTTTGCTTTAGACGTTTTCCTGTAATGATAAAGCCAGTGAGCCAGGTACTCTATAGGGTCACCGGGCCGAGCCTTCGCCACCTCTGCCAGTGCCTGGCCCAGGCAGCTACCAAAGCACCTCTTCAGGTAATCCGTTTCCATCCTCGTGGGCCTGGGAAACAGCCAAGCAGAGTCACACGACTTTGAGAATCGAATCTGATTTTAACAATAGACACATTCTTCTAATTAATTCGGATTCATTTCAGGATAACTATGAGATACTTTGGGATGCCGCCCTTCCCAAAAGAACCAACAAATACATACTTGCCTATTGCTCTTACATTCAAAAGGACTTTTTTAAAAGCTCTCTAGCTGTCATAGGTCAAATAACAGGTCCTGGCGGTCATCAGGCCTGATAGGAGCTAGATATATTGGTGATTAAGGGAGGCTAAGGTCTCCATTTACCCACACATCTCTGCCCTTGAGGGAGGAAATACTTGAGCAGGGAGGAGGCCCCAGAGGGGCTCTAAGGACCCCGCAAGCTGTGCTATTGTGAGGTTGGAAGTTACAGTCATCTGTGACATAGATAAGATGGGCTTATGTATTTCATAAGGGACCACTGGGAAGCCCTGGGGAGGAGGAGGAGGAAAAATGACAGGTGCCATAGCTTCCCAAGGTCAGGGGCCCTGCCAGCACTTAACACAACATTCTGCTGTCTAGTGCTCAAGCAAGAACCTGTATGAGGTCGAGCTAATGCCCTGGTATTTACTATCAGTCAGATTTCAAGAGCCGGGGGCAATGTAGGCTGAGTTAGACTGTACGTTAGAGATGGCGGTGTAGTGCAGCAGTCTGAACACAGACTTCGGGAGCAGACAGACCAAGTTCCGGTCCCGGCGCTGCTATTTATTGGCTGTGTGATCTTCCACAAGTCACCCAGTCTCTCTGAACCTCGGTTTTCTCATCTGTAAAACAGAGTAATAAATATATGTGCCTCATAATTGTGGAGATTAAAAGAGATAATAAATACATGTAAGGCACTTAGCCTGGCACATAGCACTTAATAAATATTAGCTATTACAGCAGGAGACTGTCACATGAGACAGACTGACACCTGGCTTATTATATCTGACCAACTCCATATTTCTGAAGTTTACATGTTTTATGTCCCAAAGAGCTAATAATAAAGTAATATTTTTTATTTTTTAAATGTTTCATTTATTTTTGAGAGACAGAGTAAGAGCAGGGGAGAAGCAGAGAGAGAGGGAGGCACAGAATCAGAAGCAGGCTCCAGACTCTGAGCGGTCAGAACCACGAGACATGACCTGAACCAAAGTGGGATACTTAACCGACTGAGCTCCCCATGCGCCCCCTAAAGTGAATAAAGGCTCAATTCGTCTTAACATTCTCTGGATATTTTAGTTTAAGGAAATAAAGGTATATATATATATATATAGAGAGAGAGAGAGAGAGAGAGAGAGAGAGAGCGCTACATTTCTCCCCTAGGTCTTTCCACTGCAAAAGCCTAGAAGCAAAAACACTTCAGAAGAGCAATCAGGGTTCTTTGGAGAAATGACTAATTCCAAGGTTGGGACAGCAAAATTCCAAGAAGCCTCGAATATTTTCTTGTCCCAGAAAGCAGTAAAATGCTAGAAAATAAATGGTTAAAGACACAGGGGCAAGCTGGAAGGGGGCTACTACTAGCCCAATCTGGGGCAATTAGACCATCAAAATAAATAACAACAAATGGTTTATAATGAATTGGGAAAAATTAAAAATCTGTGGATCAACAGAAGAAAAAATTGGTTAAGTAAGGGAATGGAGGAGAAGGCAAGCTCTTTTTTTTTTTTTAAACATTTATTTTATATTTAGAGAAAGAGAATTGCTCATGTGTGAGCACAGTGGGGGCAGAGAGAAGTGGAGAGAGAGAATCCCAGGCAGTCTCTATGCTGTCAGCACAGAGCCCAAGAGAAAATGACCTGAGCTGAAACCAAGAGTCAGTCACTTAAACTGAGCCACCCAGGCGACCTGAGATAAGGCAAATTCTAAAAAGTAGAATGTCCACTAATAAATACAGAAGGAATAATGGAGTTTTTAAAAAATCAACATTTGGGAGGGTGGGGCTCGGTGACTCAGTTGGTTAAGCATCCAACTTCGGCTCAGGTCACCATCTCACAGCTTGTGAGTTCGAGCCCTGCATCGGGCTCTGCGTTGACAGCTCAGAGCCTGGAGCCTGCTTCGGATTCTGTCTGTCTGTCTCTCTCTATATCCCACCCTACCTGCACTCTGCCTCTCAAAAATGAATAAATGTTAAAAAAAAAAATTCAACATTACCATCAGAGTATAACTGCATCAAGCCGGAATCATCAGTGAATGCTAAAACTCAGTGAATATTTGATAAATAGAATATTCCTATGGTCTCCAAGTTTCTCCTCACAATTTGTGTATTAATTCCAAAAGGAAATACAAGAAATTTAAAGTGATGAGACCCACCCAATACAACCTTAATCAAATGACATAAGTAAACATCCCTAATAAAGGGAAAAAGTGACATCACCTGATGCGGTGCACTTCTCAGTGGGATAAAATACATTTCCGTATGTATGAGTAAGAAAATGCGCCTTTTCTTAGGAAGTAGACAGTGAAGTAGGGCTTGAATAATGGCTCCCTGAAGCGTCTAAGTCCTAGTACCAGGAACCTATGAAATAGGTTACCTTATATGGCATAAGGGCCTTTGCAGGTGTGATGAAGTTAAGGACTTTGACTTGGGAAGACGATACTGGGTTACCTAGTAGGCACACTGTAATCCCAAGGGTCTTTACGATAGGGACACAGTAAGGTCAGACAGGGAACACGGTGTGACAGCAGAAGTTGAGGGCAAAAAGATGTGATTCGTGAGCCAAGGAGTGTGGGTGGCCCGTGAAGCTGGAAAAGGCAAGGAAACCGACTTTCCCCTGGAGCTGCAGAAAGAGCCAGCTCTGTGGACACTGGCTTTAGCCCTCTACAACCAATTGTGGATTCTGGCTTCAAAAACTCTAAATAAATGTGTGTTTAAAGCTACTAAGTTAGGGATACTGGTGGAAGGTGGGGGTGGGGGTGAGGGGTGGTCAACTGCTAATCTGTGGCCCACCTGACCCACTGCACTTGGAGAAGCAATCTTCTACATCCCTTGTGGTCCATGATCTGCAGGCGGGCATCACCTGGAGGCTCATCGAAATGCAGATTCTCAGGTCCCCACCCCATACCCCCATATTCACAGGCTGCATTTTAACAAAATCCCCAGGGGATTCAGTTACAGCCCTACTTTGCCTTTACCACTGGAGGACTGCCAGCGGCCGAATCACCAACCCTGCATGCCGGGGACACTCCCCACGGGAAAGGTGTGGCAAACCCTTTCCGGAGTAAGGGTCTGCTCTAAACTGCACCTTTCTAACACTGGTCTCAATGAAATATGAGACCTGACAGTGACAAGGACTTGACGCAAAGGCAGTAGAGCCAGAATAACATAGGCCTGGAGAGGGAGAGGGAGAGGCCAAAGAGATGCCTTTAACAGCCTTTCCTCCACAAACGCAGGGCACGCTTCCCAAGCAGGCAGGGGCTATTTTTCCCGGAGCTGCTCTGAGGGTCTGCTTACACTGCTCCTCCTTGCTCACGGCCTCAACCAACGTTTCGTGAGGCTTCCCCTGCCCAGCAGTGCCCAACATAAATTAAAACAGAATTTGGGAGATGCTAGCACAGTGCTGTGCCCAAACCACCAGGCCAGGGAAGACTGCAATGGCTGTGGCTGGGCAGGGGTCCGACGGCTTCCCGGAGGCGGGAGCGCCTGGGCTGGTTCTGAAAGGAGCCAAGCAGAGGTCACCGGCAATTGGCAATCGCAAAGGTGCGAAGCTGTGAAAATATCGGGCCATTACTACCGAAATTGTCTCCTCTGGCCCGGTGGGGGGGGGGGGCGGGGGGG